CAGTTTCATGCCTTTTCTGCCTAAACACATGGGTCGCTCTCTCCATCCCCTCCTTAATGTGCACTACTTTTCTGTCACCTTTTCACTTTCGAAGTCAACCCCTCCCTCTACCCCACCACCCTCACTGTATTTTAATGTTGAATGATAAAAACAGCTTCTCATCTGATCTTTGAAAGGCCCTCAAAGTGCTCATGGATGCTGACTAACCTTTTAGTTCAAGGGGCAGTAAGTAATTACACTTTTTCATTAATAAACAATTTCTTGGAAAGTGTGTGTGTGTGTGTATGATGAAATGCATCAATCAGGGATGCGGTTAAAGGATGGAGGTGTAAGACAGATTGGTGAATTGGATGAAAGAGGGGTTGGGCGAGAGCATCACGAATGAATGGAGGATAAGGCGAATGGTTGGGTAGTGTATGGATGGGTGAGCTAATGAATGCATGAGGGAATGAATAGGTGAAGTAATTAATGTCACTTTGCATCTGGAAGGTGATCATTTCAGCATTAATGCTGCTAAATCGCAGTGAAGCAGACTGCCTTATCCACGCTTCCTCCACAAAAATTGGCTTTGTGGTAGTAGTAGTAGTAGTAGTAGTAGTAGTAGTAGTAGTAGTAGTAGTAGTAGTAGTAGTAGTAGTAGTAGTAGTAGTAGTAGTAGTAGTAGTAGTAGTAGTAGTAGTAGTAGTAGTAGTAGTAGTAGTAGTAGTAGTAGTAGTAGTAGTAGTAGTAGTAGTAGTAGTGGACGTAGTCAGTACAGCAGCAGCAACGGTGATGTTTGCGTGTCATAGTGTTCGGTGCTGAATGCATTTACCTGTGGACGAAGATGTAAAGTGTGAGGACATATACCCACTACGCCCAAGCTATCCTGCATTATGAAATTGGCTGGATTTGGCAATGCATACGAAAGAAATGGTTCAAGTGAAGAAGAACCTTACCTCAAGTGTTCAGAAAAGTAGATATGATGTAATGTGAATTGAGGTGGACAAGGAGTGAGATTGCGACGCCTTTCCATGATTCCATATCTGCAGCTGTTGCTGTCGTAGACATTGCGCTGGTGATGTCAGTGCTTTCGAAACGCACAGGCTCTGGTCCACTTGGCTGCGGTTTATAGAACACACTGCCTGATTATTAGCAGTGGGCAAATAATGTGCATTCCTAACGACAAATTCCTTCTGTTCCTTTGTAATTGTCAAGTGGTTATTCATAACCCCCTAATCGACAACCGATAAGGAGCAGGAGGTAGGCTGCAAGATAGGCATTATTTTACTTAGTTTATCACACTTGATTCATGTGGGCTGTGTGGAAATCGTTAGTGTACTTTTTTGTTAATGGGAATTTTGTTAAAAACGCTGTATGGCATACCTGGACGACACTGTTGCTCCCAATAGGGGTATTTGAAAGCATTACGCAAGCCCGAGACTAGTGTCATATCATTCACAGGAAGCAGGTCTGAGCCTCAATCCAACCAATGTAGATTACAGCAATGTTCAGTGTACTTCCTGGGAAATGCCATTCTGCCAGACGTGATGGTAGTTACCGAAGAACACAAAACTTAAGGGACATGGTCTGAAGGCGGTGTCACCAAGAGTTAGAAGTTTACAATTTAATGCAGCAGACTAGAAAACTTGCTGTACTTGCTGGATTCATTCACAGATTTCTCACATTCTTTAGGCATTACTACGAATTTATGAAAAACTGTGTTGCGGTCCACCCTGTTTTCGGGTCTCTGACAGTGCAATGTAAAGGACCTGGGTGTTAGAGCACCACGTTGTGCGTTTTCTATTAGAAAATTGTTTGACTGGTGCAAAAGAGACCTATCTCGAGTAGACAGGAATCAGGCATAATTGTTTCCCTTTTAGCGGTCCTCCACACACACACATACATACGCTTACTAGTTGGATTGCTCTAGACAGGAAGCAGTGTGTGCCATTAACGTAAAATAGTGTAGTGGATAGTTTGGGAATATTCAGGAGCATACTGTTTTACTCCAAAGAGTATGCAGCGCTACTCTACAAAGACGCTTACAAAGACCGTTTTTTATCATTATTCAGACAGTTAATCAGATGGGAAGCAATGCAGAAGGCACGTCATGTTGCCAGGTGACGTCAGTGCTATGGCCACAGCCTCCATAACACTGAAACGCACATCTATCTGGGTTTGGAGATTTGCTCCAACGCATTTTGATTGACCTCCTAGAAGTGCCTTTGTAGGACAATGACCTGCACTATGTAGTACATAATCAGTTGGGTTCCGCAATTCAGACGCAAATGTGAAGTAGATCCAGATTAATTTTGAATAAAACACTTCAACGCCCCAACGATCACCCAATAAATTCTCTTCGACCATGATTCACGCATGTCTTCTTGGGCTACCTCTTACATCGTGGTGAACGTAGAAGAAGACTAGTGAACGTGAGTGTTAGAGATAACCGTCAAACGAGGGGCCTGCATAGCCGAGTGACATTTCCTGTGTTTATTGTTGGTTAACCAAGCTGACCCCTCAGTCACTGTGTGTTTGTGCCACCATCTTGTTGAATAGATGATTCTGCTGATGCACAAGAGCGGCTAAATAGTTGCTGCACAGTCCTACGCAGACTCATACAACTCTTATTATGCAAGCAGAGAAGACTCGGATGTTAAGATATGGTCATACTTTAGAATAGAATTCCTTGTAACAGTCTGAGCTGTTTCCCTTTCAAATAAGGCGTAAGCAAGAGGTTGTTAACACATATCACAGTATTGCAGAAAACCTTAAAACAATTGCAGAAATGTCCACTTTGGTGGCATCCAATCGCAGTGCTCAGCCACACCTCTTAAAGAGCAATGCAAGAGGCTGCGCTTCACTGGAAATAACAGAACCATGCGAAGCACACGGCAAAACGAGGCAGTGCAGTAAGAGAAGGAGCGTGGAAGAAGTGAGAATGAAACGAAGACAGGCAGTCTGAAAGGTCTTCGAAGTTAGTCACATAAACCACTTCAAGCTTGAACGTGGTTAGAGCCACGCGTTCACCTAACAGCATGAAGCTCGCTCAAGGAGGCTCATCTATCCGGTGGTCGAGTGGTCCGATTTAGCATTGAGGGGGTTCGGTGGATTTGATACCATCGCCTCTAACAGCGCAAATCTCTCCAACAGAGTTTGCAACGCCGTTTCACCTTCCGATATCTTCTGCTCTTGCTGTTGTTGATATTGCTCTGATGTAGTCAAATCTTCCAGATTACAAACATAGTCTAGTCATGTTGGCCAGTGTGGTTCGAGCACACTGACTGATTGCTGGCGGTCTACAAACAATGCGTTTTCTTGATGATGAAAACATTATTTTCACATGTGATTGTTAAACGGCAGTGGGCAACCCTCTATTCGACAGCGCTCAACCGGCAGGAGGTGGGTGGCATGATAATCATGAAGGGCCTCAGTTACCTACCTTTGAGTCAAACACGTCGCTCTGCAAAGAGCGACTTCCTTACAGTGCACATTGAATCCCCATATCCTGCCTTTATCAGCATTGTGAACTGTTCCACTCGCATCAAGTTCCTTAGAGAAAAAATACAGAACTCATTTGAAGAGTGTTGTGAATCATCGTGTGGAGAAATGTGTGCTACTGAATCACAACAATCGCATTTCGTTCCGTTCCCAAATAAAACAGGATAATGCGAATGGCCAAAAAGTAAGCAATCCAGCTTGGTACAGCTTGATGATTAATACTTCCATGAAATTCAAAAGCATTTTCAGTTGATTAAAACGCGCCTGCCTTAGTCTAATGATATTTCTCTTCTGACATTAGCCACTGGAAACAAATGATCATGGAAAAACTATAGATATACTTTCCTGTCAATAAATAATCATTATTTTTACCACAGCAACTCATGGGGTTTAAATTGGTGCAGGTGAGAGAATCTATGCAAGTCTGATATATTTACCTGAGTAAACAAATCGCGGTAACTGGATTAATTATGCTGATTTATTCTACTAAGTAGCAATTTTAATTTGCATAGAGGAAGAGTGTTGCGAGTTAGTCCAGAAATGTCGAAACTGGTTTTTCAGAAAACTGATGCTTCTTCATCCAATGAGAATCCAGCAAAGATCTGACCACCAAGGTTCACTGCAAGCAGAATACCAAAATAACGAAAAATAGTCAAAACACCATAAACACTTTCACTAATAAAAAGTGCACTGACAATAATAACAATAACAATAATAACTTGTTTGTTCAACAACTGGTTCCGGTAACGGATCACTTATAATTGTCTGTTTGTTTGACTAGTGCAGTTACGACCAGAGATATGCATATGCGATGGTCAGCATAATTTTTTCCCCTCATTACAGTTGCCAAACAGATCAAAACTCACATTTAGCAGAATTGCCTAGAGGGATAATTGACACTGCAGTCAAGTATCTTTCCAGTACCATGCAAATTCAACGGCTGATGCGGCTGATTTGCAAGAATTTTTCCTACAGCATCTATTACGTCGCGATGTCTAAAGTGGTAGACAGACGAAGGAATGCGCCAGGGACGGCACTCAAAACAGGTGAGAGGCTATAAAATAATTTACGTGTTTGTTTAAATCTCGGTTTTGGTGAAGAACTGAGCAAAGCTCCAACATCATCTCCTGCCATATGGCCTGGCCTCAGGCCATCTCACTAGACCCCAAGTCAATTTTTGAGTCAGAATACTTATTGGGCTGAAATATTACGCCTTCTTTCGTTTTCGAGGACTTCCAGAAGCTCTACACATTAACGAAGGAGATAGCGATTGCCGATGCTCAAGTCATGCTATTATTCTATAGCTCCTATTGGGGCTGCATGCTGCAAACATTAATGCGTCTCGTAAAGACGCTAACGGCGCATTTTCCTAACATGGCTATGAATCTCGTCTCCCGGATGATTTCTATAACTCATTCGGGCCATATTATGTACGTAATGTAGGAACGCATAAGCCTTAGAGCGTCGGCTAATCGCGACATTAAAAGGAGTTGGTGCAAAACATGATGTGTGGATCGGAAATTGTGATTAGTGCATAAGTTGGCATAACAAAATTTAAAGATATTTCTTGCTAGTCGTTAATCGATTGGTGCTGATACATAACCAAATCTATTCTATGCCATGTTGCAAACAGTTTTAAGTATTTATGCTAAATATGAATTTGAGCTAGGAGGTTTTTCGATGCCATGCTGATTTCCCTCGACCTTGAGCATCGACAATATGTACTGCATGGCGTGCCCGCTCACTTTGACATTGCGCTTTTCGTGATCACAAAGTGCTGGAAATGAACAGGTTTGGACATGACACAAACTCTACTACCTTCTTGTTCTAGAACATTTAGAGTTGCTGTGGAGGGAAACATTGGTTGTGGAAAGTCCACATTCCTCAATTATTTCAAAGAGCTCTCACCCAATATCCAAGTTTCGCCTGAAACCATTGAACTATGGACTGACGTGAATGGATTCAAGCTATTCGTAAGGTTGTCGAAATAATTTTTTGTCTCAATTGCAGGAGGCATATTATGCTGATCCAAACAGATGGAGTGCGACTTTTCAAAGTCAAGTTATGGTTACAGCATTTAAAAGACAGGCTGAAATACAGGTAACGTATGGTCCGTTTGCTGTGTTGTCATGTTCACTTTATTATAATTTGCATTTTATTCTTCAGACTGCTCCTGTGCAATTATTTGAGCGCTCTATCAACGGTTGTCGTCATTGCTTTGTTGAAGTGTTGCTTAGGAAGTAAATGCTATCAAAAAATTCAGACTAGTTTTTTTAATCCTATGTTGTTTTAGGAGAACTTTTTGCTGCATCTAATAGTGCTGAAAAATTAATTTATGTTATTTGTTACCATTAACTTTAATATTCTTTTAACACAATATGAAGTGATTTTATTTTCTGTTCCAGTAATCGTATATCCGAAGAAGACGTGAAGGTTTATGATAAATTCTATGAATGGGGCATGAGCATGCCTATTTTTCAGCTTGATCTCATCGGTGCGTCATTTTCTGCTCACTGTCGTAGTGCCTTTACCAGTAACCTCTAAAAGCATTTTTTATCTTCAAACCCACAGTCTATCTGCGATGTTCTCCTGAGATCTGTGCCGAAAGAATACGCAAGCGTGATCGTAGGGGCGAAAGCGCCATCTCAATGGTGAGTCTTCTGGTCATGTAAATAGAAACTGGTTTCCCTTTTCCTAATTTGGCCATCGTTTGCCTACACTTCCTGCTGATTTGTTCCAATGGACTGCCTGTCAGCCTTGTTAACGATACAAAGTGACGTACGTTCAAAGTACCCACGTTAAACACTTTATATGCTATTTCCGTGTCAGTATTCTTGAGGGCTTTTACGTTAGCTCAATCTGACCGCCTTTTGGTGGGTGTTCGGGTGGTCTTATTCGTCTAGGGCGTTGCTGTCCAATCAACGCTTGCCATCTTGACGTCATTTTGAGGTCACTGGTTCGCAGTGTAACAAATCGTATTTGCTGGAGTGCAGTTTCGCTCTTCTCCGGAGGCAACGAACTAGTTTTTGGATTTACAATGTGGAAAAAGACAATTTGGCTTGTCATTAATAAAGACCCTGTGTATTGGGGTGGGCGGCGCCGTTCCTACAACTAAGCATTGTAAAAGACAAACTTACTCTTGGTATCAGAGGAACAGTTTCCTCTGTTGATCGTGCACGTGCGGCGCCTGTTGCTTGATTATGTGGGACGTGAAGTTCTAACCTAGATGGCAAATTCACTTATGCTCTATGCATATTGTCTTTAAAGAGACGAATCCTGTTTCTTTCACATGTATCTCATCACTAGCAATCTTGCTGACATGATGTTGTTAACACATCTTGTGGTTTTCCATCGACTTAGCTTCCTAATAAATGGTGTTCCGTTTGTATGCCTAAGTTCCCACTCTGGGATACATTCATCGCCCAGAATATAAAAGTCTTTTAAGTCTGTTTTGCTGTGTGGCTATATGGACGTGGAGCTTATTGTTTGGCAAAAGGGGCATGTGATGCATGCTACTATTTTGCTAATAAAGACGCCAATTAATGGTAGGTTTTCGCCACTACAACAAGCAATTACTTTTGTTTCAACGTTGCATTGTAAACAATTAGCCTCTTATTCCTACATGTCTGATTTTTAACACCTTCGATAAATTGAGGCGCTCATGGTAACCTCGGGTTGTTTTGGCTACACTCGTATTTTTGTCGTTCGTGTTCTGACACCTCTATAATGAGCGCATTGTTTACAAGACCGAATACTCCTCGTGCGATTCGGAATGGAGAATGAAACTGACCTTCCACTAAACAGAATGCCTTGACACACTTCTAATGGAATGCATGGAGGTTGTGTGTTGGACTTTCTAGATTTTGTAACTACGC